AACCACATTGTTCACACACTGTATTGCTCTGAGAGCATCTTCAGAGCGGATGTAAGTGACATAAGCGCTGGCACTAGGCCCCTAAAAAAACACAAAAAAGGAAACTTAAGTAAAGTACAACAATTTTACTGTAGCTGTATATTGCATTCATGAGCTCTCTGTTGCTGCAATGCTCAATTATTTTCATTATTAATTGATTTAGTGCTTGGTAATTTGTAACTAATCACAATTGTATCAATATAACAATGAATTATTTTTAATAACATAAAAAACATATAACTTAGAAAATGTATGGAACTAATGTAAACAAATTAACAAAGAATAAAGCACACCTTGGTATATAAAACCGCAGAAAACAATTATTAAAAGACAAACTGTTCAGTAACTACAAAAATGAATATTGATTTACCTGCATTAATGTCTCTAAACTAATCCACATCTCTCTTACCTGTGAACCTGCATAAGATGTGCTATTGTTTATGACCACTTTATGGATTTTCCCAAACCTTCCAAAATATTCTGGTCGTTTTAGGACCTGTGGGTAAAACACAAAAAGCAACACAAAGGTTTGGGTATACTGTAAGTCCTTTTGCACACAGCACTGTTAGAAATCATTCCCTGTCATAGCACATCAACGACTAGTGTCTTTAGTTGTCATAGTCAGTAACTTATTCACATCAAACTAAAATACCCCGAGTTCCAACACTCTAGTGTCACTGGTAGCATAAGTCACTAATCTTGTTAGCGGTGATGCTGTACTCACCTCTGGGTCGGCAAGTCGCTGCGAGAGCCCCACCACAAACACCAGGTTTCTCTGGACCACTCTGACACTGGCCAGGTGTTTGCGGTTTTCTGTCACCTTCTGCTTTTTCTCATTCTGTTTTTGCTTCTTTTCATTCTTTATCCTTTGGATCTCCTCCTGTGACAGAGGCTTGTACACAGCAGGGTCCTCTGGGTACGGCTGCACAAAAACACAAAGAATTTAAATACAAACTGAGATCCACCATTTGAAAAAATTCCCCTCTAGTCTAAATTATGTGGCTTTATAAAGGACAGTAACTGAGACCTTCGGTTGGCAATGTGGCAGATCAACAGGCGTTACAAGCAAAAAAGCTGAAACTGTAAAAGTGAAGCTGTAAATTAAAATGAACAGATGTTCTGAATAAGCAGCTACTTCAGAAGAGAGATGAAAAGAAATTTCTCCTCCTAAATTAGCATTTGGACGCTCAACATCATCATCTCTGCTTTGCCAACCACAGACAAATCATCCTCCTGTTCTGATGAATTTTTTGGAATCATGTCCAGCTTATCTTTTTCTCACCTTTCTGCAGGCGGGGCAGAGCCCATTCTCATCTGTGCGAATGCGATGCCAACAGAAGCGGCAGATCTGGTAGCCACACGTGCAGGGAAAGAAGTTGACGTCATCAATCTCCAGTGGCTCCATGCACAGAGGGCACTCCATGGGGTCGTCCTTCATTTCAGGGCTGTGGGACATCCTATGGCGCAGCAAGGGTGAGTACTGAAGCTGGTCACAGAGCACAGGGCTACAAAAACATAAAAGCTGAATGTAAGAGCTTCATCCAGAGATGGCTGAGAATAATCAACTGAACCAGTTCTTTCATCTAATAGAACTTGTTGTCTCTACACACACACCAAGCAGGATGACATAGCCTTTAGAATTAATTTCATAACAACAAAGACGACAATGGCAGAAAAATATATTTATCGGAACATCTGTTTTTCCACAGATTTACCTGTTTATCAGCAGAGCAATTACCACACTCAATTGCTGGTTCATAAAGTCCACCTTACACTGTAATGCAATATACCATACTTCAATAACGGGTGTAAAATTCGGTTTATGATGGCACTTTTTAATAGATGCTGATTCCAAGTTATGGTTGTTCTGAAGACTGTAGTTGGCTGTACAGATGAATTGCACTGTGCTGCTCACAGAGCTGTTTCTATTGTCTGCTTCACTGACATCAACAAGCACCATCGCTGACATCATAAAAGGTAAAGTAAATATTAGAAACTGCTCTCTTGAAGCTGAAAGAACTAGCTGATAATCCTATCATTAATCTGCACATACCTTACTGACTAATTACTCATTTAACCATTTTTACACTCCTATATGTGCTCTTTTGGCAGTTTTCCTTCACCTCCGATAGCATTCTAAATATCTTAGAGCTTTGGACTCTTGGTTGACATACTGAAGCTACAAAAGCAATCTGACTGCCTCACCTTGGACCCTGAGAAACTGTGGATAGTCTCACAAAAGATGATCACCACACAGATTTAACACAAACTGGACATTTTACCATTCACGGAGGTAATATTTGTTGCAGGTCTTTGTATTGAGCATTATTAGTTTCTGCTAGGTGTGCCTAATAAAGGACAAATGACTGCACATCTTCAAAAACAAGCTAAAAACAGAACTATGACAGCTGAATGATAATGCGGATGTTGTGGTATCTCGCTCGGATTGACAGTACTCGACACGTCATGGTGGACGTTGAAGGGAAATACAACAAAGTGCGTTTATTTACACATGAAACGCCTGTAGGTATCATCTAAACACCTGCCTGGTTTGACAACATCGCTGCTAAAAGGCGAACTCGGTGACAAATACAGCCTGATAAAAACCGACAGTGTTAAGTTGAATTAGAGGAAACGCCAACAGTGTATATGCTGGGCAGCATTTTGCTAATAAACTGACATGCACTGAGGTATCACCGCTTTCCAGCTTCACTCGCAGGCATCATTGGTACAGTCGTGTACGGAGCCAGAATTACTCGTTAGCCTGGCTGGTAACTTTAGCTGCTCTGTCTGTTGGATCGTACCTTATGACAGATGTTATTTGACTAACGTTTAGCTAAGCTAACGCTAGCCGCGAATTGGGAAAAGAAGCCGGTCTGACTGATAGCAAGATTACAGGGCTAACTGTACAGTTCTTGCCTGAAACAAAACATTTAGAAATTAATATTAACTTAATATTAACGTTCGCGGTTTAGTAAAACGTATGACATAACGGTACGGTTACTCCTACATAGAAAGTGACAGCTTGCTTTCTGCTAAGCGCTAGCAGCTAGCATGCTACATTATCACCAGAGTGTACGAGCTTTTGGAGCCGAGCTTACGACGAGGCCTACACAAGCTAACATTGAACTGGAACCAAGTTGGTGGCACTACAGACAACTGACAATGCTCTAACGACATTAAGATTACCTGGACAGCGATTCAGAAAGCTTGAGGGAACTCTACAGTCAGTCAATAAAATCGCAACAGACACAAGTGTCCTTTATACGCAGAGGTAGAATCTAACCCAGCTAGCAACTTGGCTAACGTTAGCGTTACTTACCCTGTCCGTATTTAGCTTAGGATTCCACTCCAAGGGAGTCACACCAAATTGGGCGGGGACTGCGAGCCAATGTATCTGAAATGTCAAAATTTCTATAAACGGTCACTTAAGATAACAGTAGTTGTGTTGTTCTGTTGTAATTAAAAGGCTATAAAGATGTTCTGCCCCTTTCTTTTCTTGGTATTGTGGAGACAATTTACGCTCAAACCACCATCTTAGCTAGCATTATAGTAGGGAGGAGGGAATGGGGCAAGTATTCACTGCCACTGAGTCTGCGCAGATGGGCACATCCTTTCTGGGAGATGTAGTTTTTAATTTTTCTTCGCCATCGTACCGCTATTCCATTTTAAAAAGTGTATATTTCAACTACATCTCTACTACGGAGCCCGTCTGGTGACATCGCTAAGAAATAAAAATAACTCGTTCCCACGCATCAGTAAATCGTG